AGCTTCAACTAACCTCCTATTGGTTCCCTGACCAGTCTGATTCCCACAGACCTGTTGGCTATAAGCTGTGTTCAGATCGATGCAGCCTGGTGGAATACCACTAGGGTTGGGAATTGATAAGATTTTCAGGATTCCGATTCTCTTATCGATTCTGTGAAACAATGAACTTGTTAAGTCCACAGTGACTTTTGTCTACCTTCACCTGGAACATTCTATCTCTGCCTGCCTCGATGAAACAGTGAAGGGGAGCTGCAGCCTCTGATCCAGCCAGGCTCCCCGCTTCCTCACAGTCGTCTAAATCTAATGGAGAAGGGCATCCGTTAAATCTAAAAGCATTACTGTAAAATTTCAGGAAATAAACTCATCTCCCCCTGATTTAAATAAACGAGCGTCACCTTTCTGTCGCTCCCTGAACTGCGGAGCAACTTGGTAGCATGTTTAATAACCCCAAAAGCAGGAAGGAATTGATTTATTTCCAGAAATGGCATCTGATTTACTAGGAACCACACTGAGCAGAGCCAGTGTTATAAAACTAGCTACTAACCACTAGAGTTTCATTCCATGCTGGTTCTAACTTTAGCTTCTGTCCGAAAGCATCAAAAACACGGCATTCGTTAAAATTCATGCCATGTTGTGTTTGCAGGTGTTTCTGCATGTTGGATGTATTTCCTATTGCCACTTTACATCCAAACTTTAGACCGGTTTACCCCATGGGACGCCCTTTTTCTTGTTTTTTGCTTGTCTAGATTTGCTTGTCTTATGCCTGGTGACGTCGTACTTGCTCACTGAAACGTGACCTAAGTCGTGCTGTCCAGCGCTATGTTCTGGTGCTGCCTGGAACCGTAAAGAGAATCGTTAAGCGAGCCTCCAAACGGTGCCATGGAATTGGAAAACACGGAACCGATTCTGAGCAGGAACCGGTTTTCGATTCCAATCCCTAACTACCACTGAGGTCCAATAATTAGGGTTTATTTAAAAAAATAATAATATTTGCCTGACAGATGCTAACTTCCTGTAATTAATTAGATCAGACCTGTTAGTTCTGAGTTTCGACTTATTGTTTTTGTTCTCCTGGAAGAAATTAGATCACAGTACAAGTATATCTAAATCTCTATAAAATACACCCGATATTTATTTATACAACCACTGGCAGAAATGATGGAATCAGCTCAGATGGTGTTCATTCAGTTGTTTAATTTTGTAGAAAAACAGCAGATTACAGACATGACACTAAACTAAAGTCATTTCAAACTGTCTGGCTTTAAAAAACACTAAAAGAAATCAAGAAAAAAAGTGGTAGTCAGTAACGGTTACTTTTTTAGACCAAGCAGAGGGAAAGGAACGCTCCATCACTAATATTTAGTTGTACTAGCTCTGGCTCTTCTTGCTTGCAGTCTCTGAACTCTTCATCAATCTGGCTCTAATTTTCTCTGGTTGCTGTTTCCAGATCCACTTTGCTGGTTGGATTTTTGTCATGGACCAATTTCCACCAATGATTTTTAATTGGACTTTTTGCGGGCCGTGATATTGACCTTATGTGCCTTTTTTCAAGGAATGTTTTCACAGTTTTTGCTCCATGGGAAGATGCATTATCATCTTTATTTCATCCTCCCCCAAACATCCTTTCAATTGATGGGACAAGAAAAGGGTCTAAAATCTGAACGTAAACGTGAGCATTTATTGAATCTGTAATGGCGGCCGCCTCTCCTGACATGCTGCCCGTATCATCGATGAGTGGAAATCAGCAGGTCGCCTTCAGGCCCTCGTCTTTATAAGCCTCATTGGAACGGCAGCAGATAAAGGTTCCAGGTTCATCATCACCAGACTGGAGATTCATCACTGAATATGATAAGAGCTGAAACAATTAATAGGATTAATCGATTATTGAAATAATCATCAACTAATTTAGTAATCGATTAATCTCTAAGTAGAATATAGAAACTCTAAAGGTGTCTTTAGCTGACAGAGCAAACCATGAAAGCAGCAATTATACCAAAATTAAAAAAAAAATTATGTAAACATTTTGCATTTAAGATAAAAATATATTTTCTCTGTCAATATGCTCTATCCAGAACTCATGAAGTGGAAGGTTTTAGTTTCACTGAGTTAAATTTATTAAAAATTCTTCTTTAAGGGACCTTTGGCTTGCAGATTATTAATTGATATATCGAAAAAATAATTACAGAATATTCATTAGTTGCAGCCCTAAATATGCTTTGATCCTCAGTCCACCTTTGCTTTTATTTAGCTTGTTCTAACCTTATTTTTTCTGTTAAGGAGTTAATAAAAGCTTTCCTTTAGCTTTCCTGTCTCTAAATCCCAGTTTTCCTTTAGTCAGATTCTTGCAGTTCGGTCTCAGACTTTGACTCGTTTCCTTTCGATCTTCATTTGTTTTGTTGTGAATCTTTAAGTTTTCTGTCTTGATGCCTTGATCTCTTCCCTGATCGACCAGTTTGCCTTTAACAACCTTCTCATGTCGTTTGTTTTTGGTCCAGATTTTAGACCCAGCTGACTGTGAACAACCAACAACTTGTGCAACATTGCCTGATGATTTATCTTCTTTTAAGAGTTTGATAATCCGCTCCTTTGTTTGAATCGACATGGAGCCATGTTTCATATCAGTCCACTCGGTGCAGCAGCTCTTAAAGCTGCGTCGCTCCTTTTTAGGTGCAGAATAACCAGCAGGTCATATTTGATGCATTTGATGAATAATTTAAAGTGTGATTCAATCATTATTTCCTCAGAATTCAGTGATTCCATATTTTTTCCTCTGCTTGGTCTAAAAAGTAACTTTTACTAACTACATTTTTTCTTGATTTCTTTTAGTGTTTCTTAAAGCAACAGTTGCTGTTTGAAATGACTTTAGTTAGAAAATGCTAAAAAGTAGCCAATAAAATGTGGAGTTAATCTAAAGGAGGAGAATCAGACCTGATGTTTTTCCAATAGTTTCAGCTTTTATTAATTTGAACCTGAATAATAAAACTAAATCACTTTTAGCCTCATTTAGCATCACAGCACACCTGGAAAAAAGGTTTAAATGGAGACGTAGTCGAGTGGTTAGAGCATTGCCCTTAGGTCTCTGAGGTTCTGAGTTCTAGTCCCACACATTCTCACAGAAAACCCCTGAGCAAGACCCCAGGGGCCAATAATAATAACATTTATGAACATCCTGAGTGGCCCCTGCTGATTCAGCAGCTTTTCATGGCGTGATGACGACCATGGTGAGCCGTCCCAGCCTTAGTGGTGAAAGACTGGAGACGTAATGGTTCATTTTAATCGTCGTCATGATGATCTGGCCTGAGTCCCGACAGGAGCGGGTGTCAGACTGAAGGCTCGGCTGGGGGGTCTGGTTGGCCTTTCTCTCCAGTTTCTATCTGTGATCCAGATTAATCTTTCCGTTTTCTGTTTTTCAGAGCTGACCCTGAACCCGCCCGAAGGAATCGTTGCAGGTGAGACTGGACCTTTTTATTTATTTTTTTATTTATTACAGACAACGTTAAATTGATAGTTTATACATTGTTAATGACTTTGCTTTTAAAGGGTCAATTTTTTCCATTTCTTTTCCAATAGTTTTTCTATCCTCAGTCTGTTTGTTTTTTTCATTAGGAAAATGTTTTCTATTCTTCATCCGTTGCTCTTTGGATGGTTCAGTAACCTTCCCCCATTTCCTTTGCCTTTATCAACATTATTTTTATCAAATATTCATCAGATTTATGAATAATACCATCAAAAAAAATCACACAGAAGTACAGAACTTCAGTTGTTGCATTTATTCCGCAGGACGATAGAAGTATTTTTCCAAAACTCTGGAAGTTTTGGGCTTTTCCAAAAAATGTGTGAATGATCAACATCAGTCTCTCCAGCTGTTCTGCTGCTGCTTTAATTCTTTGCTTTTTAGTTTTGGTTTAATAACGACTGGTTCTGTTTAACATCCAAACGTCTGACTGGTTCTGTTCGCTCCATGATCTCAGTTTAAATCCAGTTCCGGGTTTCTGTGGTGATTCTGGTACCGAGTCTGAGTCTCTGAAACAGGAAGCAGAACCAGTCCGGTTCTGATCAGTAGTTGTTCAGGCTCTGCTCCTCTGGTCGTCTGCTGAGTGAAACAGACACTAAAACAGGCTTTCAGAACCGGTTCTGTTAAAGTTGGTCAGAACAGAACCTCAGGATGAGACCATGACCCGGTTTCTCTGTTTGTTCTGCAGGTCCAGCTAACGAGGAGAACTTCTTTGAATGGGAGGCGCTGATCATGTGAGTACAGCCTGGAGCCTGTTTACTGTCGTCTCCATGGAAACNTCCGGTCCAGTAGGTGGCAGTCAACTTCACGGCTAATCTTAATTTGCCATAAATCAGCAGCAGAAGAAGTGCTGGTCCAGCAGAGGGCGCTGTTTCCTCTACAGCGAACAGAGGAGTCCAGAGGCTGCTGTTAGCGCTGCGGCTCGAAGCTGATTGTTTTTCTTCAGTTATTTTTCTTTCCGCTTCGTGTCCGGTTAGCAGGATGGCCGGCACCGCGTTAAAGAGGCTGATGGCCGAATATAAACGTGAGTAACCGAACTTCCGGTAAGAGAGGAAGCCGTTACCCAACAGGCTAATACGGCGCGTATGGAAACTTCTGTTGAACCAAACTCCCCTGAAAAAATCAACAGTTTAACAGTTTATTTGATCTACAGTTAAAATCTCACACAGAAAGATTAATATATTTTCAAACCCGTTTAAAATGAACTTCTCTGAATGATTCGGCATCAGTTTCCTGCATCTAGGTTTATGAAAAACGATATATTTAAGTATTTTTTGATTGTGCGGCTGGTCAGCTCCGTCCAGAACCTTCTGCAGCCTGTTTATGTAACTGAGAGTCAAACTGTGAGATTAGGAGATTATCTCTATAAACTAACTCATAAGTAAACAGCAGCTGTTAGTTTAGATGTTTGGCTTTTAGAATCCAGTTTGGTTCTGATGAGCTCAGATTGAAGCATTAAAAAAAAAGAAACTGTCATTTGTTCCCAGTTATAGTTTGGATAAAAACTGTTTTCTACTTCTAGTTTGTTAGATTTTTTTTTTTCGTATTTCTTAAAGCGTGAAATCAATACTGCAAAAAAAAAAAAATCGTTTTGTTGATTTAAGGCCAAACTGGAGTTAATTTTTTCTCAATGTTCTCAGTGGTTTCAAACAAAGCTAAATTTTAAAGGAAGAATGAAGAACTGGGGAATAATCCTGTTCTTCCTGCAGGTCTAATGTTCCTCTGCTGTCAGTTCATCTCTGAAACATCTTCAATCTTCTCAGTGATTTTGTTCAGATTGCTGGATTCTCCATCTGCTGCCCAGGATCCCTGCAGCTTCAACTAACCTCCTATTGGTTCCCTGACCAGTCTGATTCCCACAGACCTGTTGGCTATAAGCTGTGTTCAGATCGATGCAGCCTGGTGGAAATCACTAGGGTTGGGAATTGATATGATTTTCATGATTCCGATTCCCTTATCGATTCTGTTAACAATGAACTTGTTAAGTTCACGGTGACATTCGTCTACCTTCGCCTGGGACATTCTATCTCTGCCTGCCTCGATGAAACAGTGAAGGGGAGCTGCAGCCTCTGATCCAGCCAGGCTACCCGGCTCCTCACTGTCATCTAAATCTAAAGGAGAAGGAATCCGTTTAATGAAAAGGCATTACTGTACAATTTCAGGAAATAAACTCATCTCCCCCTGATTTAAATAAACGAGCGCCACCTTTCTCTCGCTCCCTGAACTGTGGAGCTACTTGGTAGCATGTTTAATAACCCCAAAAAGAGGCAGGAAATTGGTTTATTTCCAGAAATGGCATCTGATTTACTAGGAACCACATTAAGCTCAGCCAGTGACATAAAACTAGCTACTAACCACTAGAGTTTCGTTCCATGCTGGTTCTAACTTTAGCTTCTGTCCGAAAGCATCAAAAACACAGCATTCATTAAAATTCATGCCATGTTGTGCAGGTGTTTCTGCATGTTGGATGTATTTCCTATTGCCACTTTACATCCAAACTTTAGATCGGTTTACCCATTGGGACGCCTTTTTTTTTTTTTTTTTTTTTTTTTTTGCTTTTCTAGATTTATGCCTGGTGACATCATAGTTGCTCACTGAAACGTGACCTAAGTCGTGCTGTCCAGCACTAGGCTCTGGTGCTGTCTGGAACCGTAAAGAGAATCGTTAAGCGAGCCTCCAAACGGTGCCATGGAATTGGAAAACATGGAACCGGTTCTGAGCAGGAACCGGTTTTCGATTCCAATCCCTAACTACCACTGAGGTCCAATAATTAGGGTTTATTTAAAAAGAATAAAACATATTTGCCTGACAGATGCTAACTTCCTGTAATTAATTAGATCAGACCTGTTAGTTCTGAGTTTCGACTTATTGTTTTTGTTCTCCTAGAAGAAATTAGATCACAGTACAAGTACATCCAGATCTCTATAAAGAACAAACCGCTCGATGTTTATTTATAAAAGCACTGGCAGAAATGATGGAATCAGCTCAGATGATGTTCATTCAGTTGTTTAATTTTGTAGAAAAAAAGCAGATTACAGACATGACACTAAACTAAAGTCATTTCAAACTGTCTGGCTTTAAAAAACACTAAAAGAAATCAAGAAATAACATGTGTTCAGCAGTAACTGGTACTTTTTTGACTAAGCAGAGCAATAAAAAACGCTCCAACGCATCACTAGTATTTAGTTGTAGTAGCTCTGGCTCTTCTTGCTTGCAGTCTCTGAACTCTTCATCAGTCTGGCTCCAACTTTCTCTGGTTGCTGTTTCCAGATCCACTTTGCAGGTTGGATCCTTTTCATGGACCAATTTCCACCAATGATTTTTAATTGGATTTTTTGCAGGTGGTGATATTTACCTTATGCGCCTTTCTTCAAGGAATGTTTTCACAGTTTTTGCTCCATGGGAAGATGCATTATCATCTTTATTTCATCATCCCCCAAACATCCTTTCAATTGATGGGATAAGAAAAGGGTCTAAAATCTGAACATAAACGTGAGCATTTATTGAATCTGTAATGGCGGCCGCCTCCCCTGACATGCAGCCTGTATCATCGATGAGTGGAAATCAGCAGGTCGCCTTCAGGCCCTCGTCTTTATAAGCCTCATTGGAACGGCAGCAGATAAAGGTTCCAGGTTCATCATCACCAGATTGGAGATTCATCACTGAATATGATAAGAGCTGAAATTAATAGGATTAATCGATTATTGAAATAATCGTCAACTAATTTAGTAATCGATTAATCTCTAAGTAGAATATAGAAACTCTAAAGGTGTCTTTAGCTGACAGAGCAAACCACTGAAAGCAGCAATTATACTAAAAAATTATGTAAACATTTTGCATTTAAGATAAAAATATTTTTTCTCTGTCAACATGCTCTATCCAGAACTCCTGAAGTTTCACAGAGTTAAATTTATTAAAAATTCTTCTTTAAGGAACCTTTGGCTATAAGATTATTAATTGATTAATCGAAAAAATAATTGCAGAATATTCATAAGTTGTAGCCCTAAAATTGACTTTGATCCTCAGTCCACCTTTGCTTTTATTTAGCTTGTTCTAACCTTATTTTTTCTGTTAAGGAGTTAATAAAAGCTTTCCTTTAGCTTTCCTGTCTCTAAATCCCAGTTTTCCTTTAGTCAGATTCTTGCAGTTCGGTCTCAGACTTTGACTCGTTTCCTTTCGATCTTCATTTGTTTTGTTGTGAATCTTTAAGTTTTCTGTCTTGATGCCTTGATCTCTTCCCTGATCGACCAGTTTGCCTTTAACAACCTTCTCATGTCGTTTGTTTTTGGTCCAGATTTTAGACCCAGCTGACTGTGAACAACCAACAACTTGTGCAACATTGCCTGATGATTTATCTTCTTTTAAGAGTTTGATAATCCGCTCCTTTGTTTGAATCGACATGGAGCCATGTTTCATATCAGTCCACTCGGTGCAGCAGCTCTTAAAGCTGCGTCGCTCCTTTTTAGGTGCAGAATAACCAGCAGGTCATATTTGATGCATTTGATGAATAATTTAAAGTGTGATTCAATCATTATTTCCTCAGAATTCAGTGATTCCATATTTTTTCCTCTGCTTGGTCTAAAAAGTAACTTTTACTAACTACATTTTTTCTTGATTTCTTTTAGTGTTTCTTAAAGCAACAGTTGCTGTTTGAAATGACTTTAGTTAGAAAATGCTAAAAAGTAGCCAATAAAATGTGGAGTTAATCTAAAGGAGGAGAATCAGACCTGATGTTTTTCCAATAGTTTCAGCTTTTATTAATTTGAACCTGAATAATAAAACTAAATCACTTTTAGCCTCATTTAGCATCACAGCACACCTGGAAAAAAGGTTTAAATGGAGACGTAGTCGAGTGGTTAGAGCATTGCCCTTAGGTCTCTGAGGTTCTGAGTTCTAGTCCCACACATTCTCACAGAAAACCCCTGAGCAAGACCCCAGGGGCCAATAATAATAACATTTATGAACATCCTGAGTGGCCCCTGCTGATTCAGCAGCTTTTCATGGCGTGATGACGACCATGGTGAGCCGTCCCAGCCTTAGTGGTGAAAGACTGGAGACGTAATGGTTCATTTTAATCGTCGTCATGATGATCTGGCCTGAGTCCCGACAGGAGCGGGTGTCAGACTGAAGGCTCGGCTGGGGGGTCTGGTTGGCCTTTCTCTCCAGTTTCTATCTGTGATCCAGATTAATCTTTCCGTTTTCTGTTTTTCAGAGCTGACCCTGAACCCGCCCGAAGGAATCGTTGCAGGTGAGACTGGACCTTTTTATTTATTTTTTTATTTATTACAGACAACGTTAAATTGATAGTTTATACATTGTTAATGACTTTGCTTTTAAAGGGTCAATTTTTTCCATTTCTTTTCCAATAGTTTTTCTATCCTCAGTCTGTTTGTTTTTTTCATTAGGAAAATGTTTTCTATTCTTCATCCGTTGCTCTTTGGATGGTTCAGTAACCTTCCCCCATTTCCTTTGCCTTTATCAACATTATTTTTATCAAATATTCATCAGATTTATGAATAATACCATCAAAAAAAATCACACAGAAGTACAGAACTTCAGTTGTTGCATTTATTCCGCAGGACGATAGAAGTATTTTTCCAAAACTCTGGAAGTTTTGGGCTTTTCCAAAAAATGTGTGAATGATCAACATCAGTCTCTCCAGCTGTTCTGCTGCTGCTTTAATTCTTTGCTTTTTAGTTTTGGTTTAATAACGACTGGTTCTGTTTAACATCCAAACGTCTGACTGGTTCTGTTCGCTCCATGATCTCAGTTTAAATCCAGTTCCGGGTTTCTGTGGTGATTCTGGTACCGAGTCTGAGTCTCTGAAACAGGAAGCAGAACCAGTCCGGTTCTGATCAGTAGTTGTTCAGGCTCTGCTCCTCTGGTCGTCTGCTGAGTGAAACAGACACTAAAACAGGCTTTCAGAACCGGTTCTGTTAAAGTTGGTCAGAACAGAACCTCAGGATGAGACCATGACCCGGTTTCTCTGTTTGTTCTGCAGGTCCAGCTAACGAGGAGAACTTCTTTGAATGGGAGGCGCTGATCATGTGAGTACAGCCTGGAGCCTGTTTACTGTCGTCTCCATGGAAAC